AGGGATTTAAGGTCATCGGTTTAAAGTCTGTCAGTGAGTATACAGAGAAATTCTCAATTCACTGTCGAAACATTGCATTGGTTTTGCTCTACTAAGTTTGTGAGATTTAATTGGCTCTTTAAGGTGTTTTCCTTTCTTCTGATAGGACGTACTTTGGTTTAGGATAATCGATCGAAAAGCGCTTAAGATCAAGCATGAACTGTCATTCTTGTTTTTCTCGCCGTTAGATCGTATTTAAAACTCATAGATGCACTGTAATAAATCGATCCTTGCTATTTATTTTATTCATTTATTTCATCATAGAAAGTAGAAGCTAAGACAAAATAAAGTATGCTTGCTTCAGAGTTGTATTAGATCTGTCCTGGTTCGATTGTGCTTCAAAATCTAATTCGGTTCCCAGAAATCAGTTTGCTTTTATGAGAGCATTCATTCGGTAAAGCTATTGCCTTCAACAAGACTTCAGCAACCGGTCGCTATGACGACACAATATAAGTATATTGATATGCCACCATCTCATTGGACAAGAAGGATCGCCAAATGTTTGGGCTCAACGATTTAAGACTGTATCCCAAGATTAGCATCAGTTTTCATTTACATGTTGATCCACTGGTGACAAGAGATCGCAAAAAGAATCCTTTAATTTTCCCCACGTAAATCGTTCACAATCAACCTGCAACATAAATTCCGTGTTAGATATTTCGTTTTTTTACTCCTCTATCACTGTAGGAACACTCGACAATTTTAAGCAAAGTATGATCCGGATAATTCACAGGAAGCAGATAAATCGTGTATGACAACATCTCCTGCGACAATCCCCAAACAATTGCATTCGCTCCTATTGAAATCCAATGCGATACTCTATTCATATGCCACCACAGTGGTCGATAGGTGAACTTTTCCACCTGCTGAGGCGCGGTGGAAAGTAAAGTTCCACCAACGTTAAGCCCACAATAACTACTCAATGCGGTTTCGTCTTGTGGAAAGGATCCTACCTAGCCTGCGAACTGGCCCTCATTAATGGCGCTGTAAGACGCGCGTATCTCGGTCCGCGTGAAGACTTAAGACGAGTCACCGAGAGGTTTTTCCGGGATCTGGTACTCATTACCAGTGCAGTACCCCTTGCAGACCTTCCGCTGGCTAACGTTGCTCAAGGGCTTATATTTTACCGCGGGCGCAGAGTCGCTCGTGCCGAAGCACCAAATAAGGGCCTACTCCCTAGCTAGGTTTCAACCAACGCATGACGTTATCGTTTGCATAAACGGTCAGTCTTCCAAGCAATAGTAAACCAGGGTAATTTACTGTTATCAACTAAGTTGATAACGTAAATTGGCCACCGTAAAGAGTTAAAAACTGACGTTTCGAG